AAATTCAAGAAGAGGGAGTACCCAGCTCTGGATATGGCCTCCATCTTGAAGGCCACTTCTACTGCGAAGGCGAGGCCTCTGAAACCCGGGTCTAGTGGGGCAAAGGAGGTCCGAGGCAGGGTTGAGCGCCTGTCCAAGGACTGTACTCCAGGGCCTCGAAAGAGGCATCTACTCAGAGGCCAGAGAAGCCCAAGGAGCCTCGGGGCAAGGAGAAAGTCTCTGAGGAGACTAAGAAGAGGAAGCTGGTGCACATATCCAGCTCAGCCGGCAAGTTTGGGACTTCAGTGTCCCATAGGGCAGAACAAACTGGAGAGTCGAAGCTTCTCGCTGCAGCCTCTAAGGCCATCAAAATGGAGATGGTAAGGGAGGTGGAGGCTGAAGAGGCCAGGGAAGAGGCTGCCAGGCGAGCTGCTGAGGTAGCCGAAGAGGAGGCGGCGAAGGAGAAGCCAGTTCGGGAGAAGGGGAAGTCTCCAAACTTCCTAGCTGGGAGGGAGGATGAGCTGGCCCCAGCTCTGGTGGAGGCTCTCCCTGAGGAAATCCGAGGTGCCACCGAGAGCTTTTACAAGTTCTGGACGGAGAGGTGGCAGCTTCATGCCTCGTCTTGTGATGCCACCGACCTCACGAGGGCACTGGTGAGCCAAAGCGCCCGGACCTTTGGCCTCGCGCTAGAATGCAGGGAGGCATTAAGTGAATTCCAAACAAGGACTCACGCCTCGGAGGGGAAAGCTGCTTCGCTCGTTGAGGAGGTCAAAGCTGCTAAGGCCGAGGCCGAAGAAATCAAAGCACAGAGGGCAGAAGAAGCGGCGAAGCTCGAGTCCGCCCTGACCCAAATTGAGGCCCTAAAGAGGGAAGTATATGAGTCTCAGTGCAAGGTGGCCTCTCTGACGAAGAAGGTGGAGGTCTCCAATGAGCACCAAAAGGTGACTGCCGAGGCTCTGGAGCAGGCGATCTCGCCTTGGCCGGCGCTCGTGATGCCAATCAGTTTCTCGAAGGCTAGGCGAAGTGGTACATGAACGACGCCTCGGTTGCCAGAGAAGAGGCCCGGAATGCAGCGGAAGAGGCGGTGAGGGCATACATCGCCAATTTCCACACTACAGAGGAGTATAAAAGCTTCAGCGCGTACTGGAGGAACTTCGCCTATGCCGAAGTGCTGGAGAGGGCAGAGGAGCTTTATCCAAACTTGGACCTGGCACAACTTAGGTCCGAATTTGTGGATGAGGTTCCTCAGACCCCAGCTGAGGAGGTGCAGGGTGACGAGGCAGCTGATGCCGAAGCCCCAGATGCTGAGGCAGGGGAAGCAACCACTGATGCCCAGGTTGCCGAACCCCCAAGTGCTGAGGCGCCGCCTTCATCCAGCCAGGTTTAGATTAGGTTTTCCTTTTCAGTACTTTGTGTAATGGCCAAAGGCCCTCCGTTGTAATCCTTTTTAAATATTAATATAATGTTTTTCTTCATTCATGATTGTTCTTTATCCAAGTTTTGCCTCGTTTAAACAAACGGACTGGAAGTTGATAAGCGCACGAACTAAATAACTGTATGGGCCTCGGACTTAAGCAGAAAATGCACACAACTTAAGATCTGTTGGAGCCTCGGATTTAAGAAAATGAACATAACTTAAGGAAACTGTTGGAGCATCGGACTTAAGAAAATGACCATAACTTAAGATCTGTTGGAGCCTCGGACTTAAGAAAATGAACATAACTTAAGGAGATCTGTTGGAGCCTCGGACTTAAGAAAATGACCATAACTTAAGATT